TTTTATTTTTTAATTTTCCGGTATTTGTAAATATGGTTACTGCATTATTTTTGGATAAACAGGTTAAATAGAGTTAAATGAAATGTGTTCGATTAAATGAAACGTTCGATTAACCAAATGAATGGTTCGATTCGCCCTTTTTATACGAGACGTATATCCGTAGAACAACAACAAATCCACGGATTCGAAGAAGTAAGGAGGGATCTAACTGTTTTTCAAAGAGTTCGGAATTCCTTTGATAGAAGAATAAGGGCCTGCATATGTGCTGAAGGTGGTCATTTTAAACATTTAATTTAATCTGTTACACATTTCATTTAACTCTATTTAATCTGTTTATATTTATCCAAAAATATTGCAGTAACCATATTTACAAATACCGGAAAATTAAAGAATACAAAGTTTAAAAATAAAACATGTAATTATGTTGAAACACTGTGAAATAAATTATAATTCTAATTTATGAAAAATATATATATATAAATTCAATTTTTTAACATAAAAGTGGTTATAACTCGGAAACGACTTATTTCCGGACCTATGTTTATATAGCTTTTTTCCTCCTTTTTGGCTCCTCTGAATCACCTCCTAAAGTATATTGGCCTCGATTTTTTGGATACCCTGTATATATATATATATATATACATACATATATTACACATATGTATGCACACGTACGTATGGTTGTATGTATTACATTACCATATACTTTAAGATTGTACATGCTTCTCTGACAATTAATTGTAGGCTATGGACTTTGCATATAGTTATTTCATGTATGGCGTATGTTGATGACAGGTGATGGCTGACAAAGTTATCCTCAAGGGCGTAATATTCTGCGAGTGCAGTGAAGAAGTTTGTACCCAGCGTTGCCTGAAACGTGGTGCCAGTGGAAGTGGACGCAGCGACGACAATGAGCAGTCTTTGGTCCTGCGTCATCAAACTTATTTGAAAAATACTTTACCCATCATAGAAATGTATGAGCAGCAAGGTTTAGTTTATAAAGTTAATTCTATGAAAACACCAGAAGAGGTCTTTCAGGACGTTGCAGAATTCTTTCCTAAGATAGGATGGTAATAATAACAATGGTTCTGACCATTTCTTTTTAACAAGTTAAATATTGTTGGCGCAATAATTTATTTTTATTTTATAGGATAGACATTGTCATATGGGATAGCACCTATATTTTATAGATTTTCTTTATTTTATGGAAAAGTACAGATTTACCTAACTTTATCACTGGTGTCAGTATTTTATCTCAATTTTTTTAATACGTTGCAGCTTATATACTGCAAAAAACATTCCTTTACAAATGTATAATACAATGTGAATGGATAATGATGTCAACAATTGGAATTCAAAATCTGTAAATATTCTGCCAGAATTGTTAATAGCGATCGGCAGTAAAAGTTCTTTGATACAATCTTATATACATAGCATCATACGCGTTAGAATACATAGCTTATATATTTATAAATAAATATTTAAGCAGTATGTTATTATTGTATCAATTGAAAATTTAATAATCGTTAGAAAAAAATCGCATATTAATGTGTGAAATGATAAAAGAGAAAATTATATCATGCGTTTTTTAACTTATACATATGTAAAAATATATTTATAAAATTAATGTGTTAAGGTATTTTATTTCAAAGTCCCACCTTGCTATTTTCCTTTCAAGTTAATGCTCAAATAATTAATATAATGCTATTTATAATATTTCGGGAGTGAATACAAATATTCTTACAGATTTCAACATTAATTCTACGTTAAAAAATATTTTTAATTAACTGGCTCTTCACTAATCGCCGCAATCATATTGGATCGTGACTATAAGCGAGAAATGACACGTTGAAGTTTCTTATATGTTATTTGTAAAGAAATTTTTGATAAAACAAAATAATGAGATTACATTGAAACACTTGTAAAAATTGACCGAAGCTATTCTTATCTCCCTTCGACATTAGTAAATAGTCATAAAAAGCACGTGAAGTGAAAATACGTCTATTTACTATCTGTTAGAAGAATAAAGAGCTGTGGCCCTTTTTGACAAGGCTTTTAAAGCAATCTTATTATTTTGTTTTATCAAAATTTCTCTTTTTTTTACAAATAACATGCAAGAAACTTTAACACGTCATTTCTCGCTTATGACGATTGTTAATAAAAATGGGAACTTCTTGCTACAAACAATATGCAAAGGATCAATTTTTTTATCTCTCTCTCTCTCCATTTATTAATCATTAAAATTATTTTAGTCGTTAAAAATGCATGAATATGGAACATGTGTAATCTAGAATCAGTGAATTATAAACTGATGTTAATCATTTTAAATTGCTCACAAAATGCCATTATTTACTCTTATCTGTAAAATATTTTTTTCTTTTCCTCGAGCACACATTCAGGGTAAATGAACTTAAACTTGTTTACAAAACCTTTATTACTTTTACTATCGCAAAAAGATTTAAAATTCACAAAAAATAATATCGCGAGATGTACTTTAATCGGTCACAATGCGTGAAGGTGACGGACAGATATACAATGTCCTCTTATCATTAATCGAAGTTGATATGCTTTTTTAATATCTCGTTCAATAGGTGAAGATAACGGATAAAGCGATTATCATGAAATGTCCATCGTGATTACAGTGGGGATTACAGTTATTAAAATGTTCAGCAAACATAACGTAACATTCACGTGTAATGTGATTGAATCATAGCGTATCTCCTGCAATTATTTGTTTACAGGCACCGATGTTGGGCGAAGCTGATTCTCCGATGTGGGCCTCACGAAAGTTCGTTCACGTTACATTTTTCGACTACAGTGTCGAGAAAGTCGAATACTGGTCAATGTCCCGACGAGCAATCACATATTACGTAGAGGGGACTACATTTACAGCAGCCGGGGGCGAATTTCTTCACGAAACGATGCCGGTAGAAATTCGTACGGCGACTTGACGAGAAATTTCGACAACCGAGCAGCGTTTAAAGACTTTGGCTATGGTCCACTTGATGCTACAAATGCTACTTTCAAGCGTTTTTTAATTGATCAATTAATAAAATTCTTCCTTTCGATTGATCAATTAAAAGCTTCGAAGCATTTGTAACGCCAAGTGGATCACACCCTTTGTGTGTTTCTGTACAGCTTTTATATTAACCTATTTTAGTAAATAGTTAAATAGTAAAATAGTTAAATAAGAACGCGTATGAGAAGTATGGAAGGATGAATGAGGTAAGAATATTGTAAACCAAGTCCCCTTCTTGGCTATGTAAATAGTGAAGTGTAATAAATTCTATTCTATTTCATTAACCTACTTTAGTCTTAGTCGTATTCTAGTTGAAACAATAAAAATATAGTAAACGCTATTTGATGTGTTTATTATTAGTAGTACTTTATTCAAACTCATAAAATTAAAGTTCATTGTACGATTATGGTATAATGTAACAGAAAAAAAACAACAATGCTCAGATAACATATACTTATTTTCTAGAATATCTCTTCATGATATCTTTTAGATATCCTTTATGGATGTTCCAAAAGATGTCTTTATATCTGCATGACATTTTTTAGATATGTTGTCTGGAAAAAAATGTTATTTTCTAAATCAATTATATTAAGTTACTTAACATTACTAAGTTACTTTCTAAATCTTAAATTGTCTCGAATTTTTAGCAAAGTATCGTTTTAATCGAATTATTTATTTTTAAATTTTTATTTCTTTAATTTATTTTATATATTATTATTACTATTTTATTAAGTGAAAACGAACCGAGAAACGTTCAACATAAATGAGTGAAGAGGGTCATATTTGATTAAAGCAGATATTAGTGGCTAATAATATATTGTGTAAATTTTTATAACTTTGAACTAGAAATTTTGTAAAAATTCACTATTAATAAGAACTTAAAACAAAATTTTAATTACCCGGATGAAAATGTTATACTTTATTACGCCTTAAAATATTATACTTGCGCAACTATCGACTATCGATGATATGCACCAGAATCTTAATTTCTATTGATTATCATATCCAATATTAGCCTTGACCTAACATGTGTATGTTTAGCGTAAATGAATGAGATAAAAGAATCCTTAGTCGAGTTACTGAATGTATGTATGTACATACAAACGGCTGCGTTCTGTGTATATCTTTGATGACTACATGCACTCGTTTCAAATCTATAATTAAAACAGTAACCGATAGATCGAACGAATGCAAGGCTGCGGCTATAATCTTCGCAAAAACGGCATCAGATTCATCAAAAGCAATTAAGGAATTCTTCCCGCTCTCTTTTTCTTTTCTTTCGAAACTTCCTAGATTATTTTTGGCACTCTAGCCGAAAGTTGCGTTTCGCAACCCTTAACACTTCGTCTTGTAAGTTGAACTTTCGAAATTTCAAAATGAAATAAAATTATGTGATTTAATACAAGAGACGACGTTCAACCGACTGTTTTCTTAAGAGTGCACATTGACTTCGAAAATTCGAAGTTCGGCTTCTCATAAATTTCAGATCTTGCATCACGGCATTTTGACTCCAGGCGATAAAACGCCTTTCTTTTTTAACCTTTCTACGATGAATAAATCAGAAGGTGATTGACATATCGAGAATCCACGAGATTTAAAGAGGTGTGCATCAAAACGAAGTTTAATGACCTGGTTGAATAATTTCAACTGCACTAGGGCCGCCAATCCGTTATTTTCAGTAGAAAAAAATAAACACAAAGTATGCAGGAAATAGCTACTGTCCATGTTCGATAGATAAAATTTAATATCAATGGAATTCGTAAAATATAGAACCACTGAATAGAATTTATCAAGTCAAATATTGATACCTTACTTTCAAAAAGCATTAAAATTGTGTAACAAATAAAAGATAAATTAGTCCACTAGCTATATATATATATATATATATATAAAACAAGATTTATCTATTTCTCAAAACAGATAATTTGTTAACCTTATGCTCATAATATAAGATTCCATTCCAACTGTTGACATAAACTTCCATAATATCTTCTTTAATAAAATAAAAGCAGATAAAACTCATGTTGAAGTACACATATATACAGGGTGTTTCCAAATTAAATGGCAAAACTTCGGGAGCGTGTAGAGGAGTAAAA